GAACTTCCAGAATAAAGTCTCTCTAAAAGCCCTCATGTTTCAGTCACCTAGCTAGAGCAATGAGCAGATTCTTGGCAAGAGCTGAAAGATGTGATGGATTCTCTGTCATTTGGACTCTTCAAATCAAGATTGTATATCTCTCTCTAAAAAATAAAAGGAGGGCTTGTGGCACCTTAGAGACTAACAAATGTATCTGAGCATAAGCTTTTGTGAGCTACAGCTCACTTCATCGGATGCATTCAGTGGCTGAATGCATCTGTAGCTCACAAAAGCTTATGCTCAAATAAATTTGTTAGTCTCTAAGGTGCCACAAGCCCTCCTTTTCTTTTTGTGGATACAGACTAACACGGCTGCTACTCTGAAACCTCTCTAAAAATACAGAGCCTAGGTGGACCAACTTCAAATAAAAAGATATGACCTCACCCACCTGATGTCGCTCATATCGTGGGACCAACATGGCTACAACATGGTAAAAAAATACACTCAACCAGTATTTACCAGCCTGATGCATGACCTTTTTTTGTGAAATTCCCTAGCCTTAGTTATGCAGGCAATCAGACTATATGATCATTAGGGTCCCTTCTGGCCTTAACAATGAATCCTTGTTAAACGCCTCACTCTGAAAAAAACAGGATGAAGGAACTTATCTGTGAGCTTTGATGTGCAGACTTGAAACACACCTATTAGGAGCCAATCTGCTGGCAGAAATGTATTCTTAAAGGGCATCTGTGAATTGTTTCTAAGATAGCACATTTCTAGTTAGAACAAACACTAGTTCCCAATGACGAGCTGTGGCACTCTGTACCTCAAAACAGCACCATGGAACCCCCATATTCAACACTTTCATATAATTATGATATACGCTGTACAAAGTATGCCTTGTGAGCTATTATTTTAAAAGTCTTGATCTGTTGAACATTAATACCCTGTTAGATTGTATGTGCTATAATTGTATGAGAAGTTATGAAGTTTTGCTCTGTGTGTGTGTGTTACTGAAATATGATGGAGCCTTTCAGATACAACAGTGGAGCAGCCAGACATGTTGATGGCCCACTGAAGGGAATTTACACTCCGAAGAACTATCCCAGCATCTGTATACAATGGACACTTCTCAGAGATAGCACGGAGACAATGGAGACTGCTTGACTCATGTCATAGCAAAGGGTCTTTCCAGCAAGCTGGAAGAAACTATAAAAGAGGGGAAGTGACATCATCACTTGGCCTCACTTCCCGCCCCCCAACTGAACACCTGGAAACACATCTGGAGGACAAACACTACGGACAGTGGCCAATACCAGGTGCCCCAGAGGGAGTGAACCTAACAGGTAATGATCCAGTGATCTCTCTCCTGCCATCCATCTCCACCCTCTGACAAACAGAGGCTAGGGAATTCATTACCCATCTTGGCTAATAGCCAGTTAATGGACTTAATCTCCATGAATTTATCCAGTTCTCTTTTAAATCCTGTTACAGTCCTAGCCTTCACAACCTCCTCAGGCAAGGAGTTCCACAGGTTGACTGTGCATTGAGTGAAGAAGAACTTCCTTTTATTTGTCAAAGACTGACAAGGCAAGGTGGTCCTGGGCTCAAGATGAGCCCAGCCTGTGTATGGAAGATCTGTAACCTGCTTGGACCATCTATCAGGGTGAGACACTGCTTGACTCAAATCCTATTTAGTTTATAGGACTTAGGTTGTGCACTGATTTTTATTTTCTTTGGTAACCATCTCTATCCTTTATGCCTACCACTTAAAATCTATCTTTCTGTAGTTAATAAACCTGTTTTATGTTTTACTTAAAACAGTGTATTTTGCTTGAAGTGCTTGGAAAACCTCAGCTCAGGAACAAAAGCTGGTGCATATCCTTTCCACATTGATGGAGCGGCAGACTGGTAATAAATTTACACTGGTCAGGCTTCTGACCAGAGCAAGATGGTACAGGTGTGGGGTCCTGAGCTGCAAGGGGGGTGGGGGGAATTGGCTGGAGCCTCTCTGTTGTTGGTTCATGAGTGGCTGGGAGTAGCATTCATGTAACTCAGCTGGGTGTGTCCCTGCCTGTGGATATCTGTGTAAATGCAGTACCTGGAGAGGTTTGCAGCTTGTCACAGTATGAAAGGGAACCCAAGTTGATGGGACAGAGGGATCACTGGTACCCCAGTTCCAGGTTACAATCTGGGGAACCCATCACACGAGCATCCTAAATCCCCCATTTATTTCTGACACACCAAAGGATTCTGATTATAAACTTGACTGTAGCCAGTGCTCTCCTGGGGCATGTATAAATTATACCTTAGATTCTCTCATGTTACGGGTATAAAACCACAGCACAGCCTAAACCATGCACTCACTGCATAAGATGACTAGGTGGCTCTGGGATGGTAATGGACTACAGACCTGTTCAGCTCTGGGTCATCAGTTCAAATCCAAGCCAGGTCCATCATAAAAATGAGTCTCAGACCAATTCCTACTGGACAGAGACATAGAATGGGCCCCCTTGTGGTAATCTCAGCAAGGACTGAATTGGCTTAGAGAATTCTCTTTCATCGCAGGTGGGCAGGTAGCAAGACTTGCACTGTCTGTACTGTAAGCAGTTCTGTGATGAGGTTCTCAGACAGCAGGGCTGCCAAAGCTAGCACCTCCCAGCAATGCTAAATTCGCACAAAACATTAAAAATCAATGCATCACTTCATAATCTGAGAAGAACTGTAGCCAGTTGCCTTTAAACTATGACTTTTAGGATTTATGGGATAATCAAACATTAATATCCTTATGAGTCTCTAACCACCACATTTAAGTCTACAATGATGCTTCCTCATTCTCCTAACATAATTAGATTCAACTGGCTTCTCAGAAGTAAAAAGCAGCCAGCATATTTTGTAGTAGCTTTCCTGAACAGAAGTGATTTTGGCATCCACTCACCTTTTTTTACTAAAAAATCTATTTGTGCCTCACCAGTTCATAATGATTTCCTATCAGTTGAGTTAAAGCTCCATTTTAGCCTGGTCCCTGAGCAGCACAACTGCTTTTATCTGAAAGCTATCTTGTACCTACAAGCAATATTTTAATGCATAACATGGCATTTTAGTAGAAGCACTTCATCTTTATTCTGATCAGAAAGGGGGGTGAAATCAATCTTAACTCCTGATAAAATTTTATTTAAGAAGGTGGAAGATATCTTCAAGATTTAATGAGGGATTAAATGGCACACATACTTCATAGGAGTCTTAAGACACCTGTGCTCCCAGCTGCAATGTATAGAAGGAAAACCTTCACCAAATCAACCTTAAGGAAAAAGCATCTTGCATCCTTAAAACAAACTTTCTTAGGTAACTATGCTATTGTGATGTTTCAAACTCCTATTAGATAAAGAACCCCGTCATCCTCACATTTATGTCTGGGTCTTTTGGAAATGATGCTCCCCAGTGAATGGTCTTGGGAGTCTTCTTCCTATCTGAGCAACCTCAGTTCAAACCTACAATCTATGCAGTCATTTTTTTATTATGTGCATCACCTTAGCAGGTCTCAATGACAATACCATAATCTCTTACAATAGACCCTGCAACTACAGGACACTGTGCAGATCATTTAACCAGCTTCATACAGCAAAGAAGCTGAAAGGATGTTCTGACTGAATGTGAATACAACTGATATTAAAAAAAAAAAATCAACTATGATATCCATTTATATCGCTCCACTTCATCCTGTCACTGCACAAAACATGAGCCTCACATGGACAACAGCACTGCCTGGCTTATCAGGGTTCCTTCCCTTCAGCTAGCTGCAGCACATCAGGTGTAACCCTTGAAAATGTGTATGAAGTGGAATGTTAGAAACTTTTTGCTTAAATTATATGCCAAAATTAAACTATTAAAACACACACACACACAGCTCAATTCTTATCAGGCTTTGATTTTGGCAGGTCTTGGTTTCTGGATGCCATTAAAAAAAAACATTTTCAACTATGAGGCACCAATAATTTAAACCAGGAACTGTGCAAAGGGGAAAATGAAATGCCTGAGAGAATTCTGCTAAGAGAGTTTTATTTCAGCCGTCACATATGATCAAATTACCAATTACAAGGAGCCTTATTCAGTGTAAAATCAACTCTGACTTGCTCTGGAAAGTGACTCACTGAATAAGAAGCATTCTCACTTATCAGCAGGTGTTTGTAATGTTATGATTGGATTTCATTTCTCTTCAGAGGGAGATAGAGAGAGTTAAAACACTGGCACAAGCAACACAAGGCACATCTGACAATGACAATGCAATTTATCAAGAACTAGGGGAAAAAATCATGACACTGTTAGAATCTGTTCATCCCATATTATTTATCTTCTGGCTGATGCTGAGAAAATGTTAAGATGCTGAGGCAGTCAAAAGCTAATTCAAACATAATTTAAAAATTAGATGCTGTTTGTCCCCTTATCAGCTGAACCTGCATCTCTATTTATAGCAGACACCGTATCTCCTACACAGCATACATACAAAGGGAAGATTTCTCTCTTCATCATCTGTTTTCTCAAGCTTATGTCCTATGCATTTTTTTAATAGCATGGAAATCAAGACATCAAGGAAACAACAAATATTAAAACCCACCCAAAGTACTTCTTTCATAGCACCAGCAACCAGAGCTTTCTACAACTTTTTTAAAAATATAACTCTTTCGATAAACATAGGGCCAAGAAATCCAGACATTTTTGTAAAAGGAAGTAACGGCATGCCAGGGCTCCCGACCCTCCCTCCCCCTAGCTTTGACTCTGAAATTAGGCACCATGTACATATCCCCTCTTTTCCCGATCTAGGGCTCCGAACCAGACGGAGCGGTACCGAGTCCCCAGCACAGCACGACCAGTGCCGCACCTTTCCGAGGCGATAACACCTCGCAGAGCCGGGCAGCGCTGTCACCCACCGCCCAAGCCCGCCAACACCAGCGCTCCCCCCCCCGCCCGGCGATGTCTGAACAGCACCGGCAGCTCTGGGAGACGGAAGGAGAGAGAATTACCGTGGAAGAGGTGGAGGCGCTGGCACCGCAGTGATCCGGAGCGGGCAGGGCTCTCTGCCCCCGGCCAAGCACGAGTCGCAGCTGTCCAGGGGCCCCGCGGGTGGGGGCGCCCAGCGGCGCAGCCCGGCGGGCTGGTCTCTCGCCGGCCGGCCGGTGGGAAGAAGAACAAATCACATCCAGGTTCCCCCCCAGGGGAATCCGGAGCCCGGTGTAAATCCGCCCAGCCCCCTGCAAGCGACGCCGCTACTCCCCCGACCGGTCCCCGAGCCCCCCGGCAGCGCGGGCTCCCCGGCCACTGCGCCCGGGGCAGGCAGGGCTGGGGCGGCGCCCTCGGCCGAGTCCCCGGGACGCGCCCAGGGCTCAGTCCGGCGGGCGGCTAGCTGCGGAGCCGGCTGGAAAGGGGGGCTCTTCCATGCGCCCCCGGCCCAGGCGCGGCGCCAGCGAGGGCTGAGCCGGCCCGTCTCCGGGGCCCCCTTCCCGGCGTCTGGCCGGTCCCTGAGGCGGCGCCTCCCGGCTCAGCGGGGGGGAGGGCGGCGGCTAGGGCCGGCTCGGGACCCCGGCGCGGGGCGGCGGCGGCTCCATCCCGCGCGGTCGGACCCCGGCCCCGCTCCTGCCGCCGGGCGCTGCCCGGCCGCCCCCTGCTCGGCGAGCCCGGGAACCGGCGGCGGCTGGGGACGCAGCCCGCCCGGCTCAGGGAGGCTCGAGCGGCGGGCGCGCGCCGAGCACGCGCGGTAGCGGCCGGGCTGCCGCCCGCTCCTGAGGCGAGGCGGGGCGGCGGCGGGAAGGCGGGAGGGGGTGGCCGGGGCGCGGTGGCTCCGGGGGTGGGGTGGAGATTGTTTCGGCGGGACTGAGGGGGTGCGCATGGTGGTGTGTAAAATAAGGAACCGTCGAGAGCAGCGGGGTTTGTTCTTCTGCGCCGGCCGGCTCCGAACACGCGTCCAGCGGGGGGTGCCAGGTGCAGACTCTTTGGAAATCTCCCTCAGGGTCCCAGGACCACGGGTTGAAAACTACCGGTCTAGAGCAGGGAGAGCGGGGGCGTCTAGTCGCCGGATCTCACGGCTCCAGAAGAAGGGGGGATTCAGTTGCATTGGGAAATGGCAAATTCAAAACTGATAAGAAGAGGGAAATATGTTTTCACACAAGGTGTGACTAGCCTGTGGAACTCACTTCTCCTGGCAAGATGTCCTGCTGGCCAAGAATTTAGCAAGGTTCAAAGATAGCTGAGACATCGTATGGGGTTAACAAGACTTCCCAGAGTTATAATAGTTAATACTAACAGTATAGGACAAGAGATATACTCTCATGTCTTGAAGGCAATCTCTATTAGTGGTTAGGGTAGGACCATCATGGGGAGGGTTTTATTGCCTCCCATCTGTATAGTGTGGGGGTTCTTGCACTGTCCTCCGAAACATCCGGCCGTTGTCAGAGACAGGGCTGGATGGGCCCTGTGTCTAGTCCATTATGGCAATTCCCACACTTCTGTCTGGAGAGCAAGGGGTGGGAGAGCACATGGGTCTGAGAGGAGTTAAAGCTACAGCATGTTTAATCTATTTTACATTTATTTTTCCCATTCCTGGGGAAACCTCAGAGCCCTCTCCTGCATTTATTCAGTGCAGTTTGTGGAGTATAGGACACTGCTGGTCACTCCTGCACAGCTATTCCCTATTATTGTGGGCCCAAACATTCAGAAATGGTTGTTATTTGGGGTGCCCCAGTATCTGGGTGCTCAAGCTGGGACACTTTAAAGGTGCCTCATTTTTCCAGAGCCACTAAGCATCAGCAGCACCAATGAAGAGTTTTAGGCACAAGGGGAGGTGCCAGAAGCACTACTGTGTGCCCTGCATGCTACCTGAGGGGAAGGCCTCCCTTCACATGCCCACAGCAGCAGTCTGAAACAGGCCAGGCCTACCCACCAAAAGCCCAGATAATTGATTAAGGGGTGAGCAAATAGAGCAGGCCCTATGCAGCTATTGGCCAGAGGACTGGGAGGAAATCCCACCCCTCACTCCCTGTGCTTGGTTAGAGAAAGGGCATGCACTTCTAGAGTGGGAGCTTAGCAATTTTGAAGTGGGGGATAGGGGCTGGCTGTAGCCAACTTTATCAGCCAGTGGGCATAGAAGTAGGATTGGAAAGAGGTGCCCCATGGCTGAGGCTGGAGTAAGCCAGCCCAAAGGTGCCTTGGATACGGGGTTAGAGATAGGCCTAGGGAGAAGGAGCATAGGTGGCTGCAGCCAGGCTGGGAAAGTGGCCCAGGCCCTGCCTGGGAGTCTTGACTAGAACGGTAGCCATGGCGATGAAGGCCTGTGATATAGTAGAGACTGGGAGCTCCCATTGCACCCAAGCACCAGGGATCACTGGTGAGAGGTAAGAGATACCTGTAATAGGCCTACAGGACTGAGGCTAAGATGGTGCAATATGAACTCATAATGGGTCAGTGGTAGTACTCTTAAGGACTGGGGGCTCCATGCATTGTACTGTAGAGGCAGTGCTTTGTATGCCGCTGAAAGGTCCCTATTATTAATCATGGGTTGTGTCCTTTCCCAGGGAGAGTTGCTGGTATTATATCTGAGTGCAGCACTGATTTCTTTGGTAAATTCCTGCCTCCCCAAAACTCGTGGGAGGAAGCCAAGCACCTTGGGCCTAGCAGGAAGCAAGCGGGGCTCTAAACCAGAGGTTCTCAAACTGGGTGGGCATAACCCTTCAGCGGGTCATGAGGTTATTATGTGGGGGGTTGCGAGCCATCAGCCTCCACCCCCAAACCATGCTTCCCCGCCAGCGTTTATAATAGTGTTAAATATTTTTTTAAAGTGCTTTTAATTTATAAGGGGGGGTCTCACTCAGAGGTTTGCTGTGTGAAAGGGGTCACCAATGCAAAAGTTTGAGAACCACTGCTCTAAACCCTCTTGGGCATGTGGTTTGGGGGCATTTGGGGACCACACAACAAACTGAAGTGCCCTCTTCCCCCCCCCCCCATCAGGTCCTACTGCTCCATTTTCCAAATGGCCCGAGCTCTCAAGGAGCTGAGCACCTTATGTACATAAACTACTGCAGTATTGCCAACTCCAGACAGTGAAAAATCATGTCAGGCTCCCCAAAATTGAGAGATTTTTGTTCTTAAAAATGCACATTGCGTTCTTTTTTATTTATGTTCTGGCATTTGACGCTTATGGGTTCGCTTCAGTCACGTTTTCAAGCTTTCTCCACAACCACAAGGATTAGACGCTTAGTTTTTTAAATTAAAGCTGGGATTCTCACCTAACAACATGACTCCAGGAGCTGGGGCTTTAAGGAAAATAGTAAATATTGCAAGACTTATGATGAAGTGACAAGACTTGACAACAGTGTGCATGTTATACTCACAGATCCAAGTAATGCTGGAACACTAATTTATTTACACTTTTTTGTAAAAATTGGAGAACACAATCTCCCACGGAGGTATCTGCAGGAAGGTCAAGCTTATGCTGTGACCACATCCTGCTCACCAGATTGCTGTATGCTGCTGACCTCTCTGTCAAAATGAAGACTGAAAGAGATGGAGCTGGGATATGCAATACTGGCATTATTCCAACCAATTCAGTATAAAGTAAAACACTTTTTCTTCAAAAATTAAGGGTATGTTTATGCTAAGAATCCAAGACATTGATTTCTGAATGCTTGGAGCTGGCAATATTGCAGTGTTTTATATATATATTCCTCTTTCATCCTATTAATTTCTTCTATAGTGAGATACAGGTTTCTTTGTCAGTCTCCTTTGTAAATCAGTGGAGATATGCATTGAAGTCTCTCTCTTTGTATTAAGAAAAGGAGTACTTGTGGCACCTTAGAGACTAACAAATTTATTTGAGCATAAGCTTTTGTGAGCTACAGATGACTAACACGGCTGCTACTCTGAAACCTCTCTTTGTATTGACTCTGACACCCATTTTGGCTACAGATTTTTCTCTTCCTTGAGTTGTTCTTATACATGTTGTATTTCTGTTGTGGTGCTTTTTCTTTTTTTTTATTGTTTCCTAGTTGTAATATTAATTGTGCTTCATTTTGCTAATGTCAGAATTGTCCCTTTAATTCCATCAATTGCATTCACTCTGTGGGAGAATTATTACATTCCCTTATTCCTTCCATTTTTATGCCAAAGACTCTTAATTTGTTTAATTCATTTTTATGTATGTTAAAGAATACAAATGTGGCACAATAACATTCTCAGTCATTCTGTGACAGCACACAGTGAATAAAGGAAAGGCAACATGCTGAATAGACCTGGAAGATTGCTGGGGTTTGTTTTTTGTTTATTTGCTAAATTTCTACACCTTGACCCTGCAACGAGTGACCACCACCCACTCACAGAAATCAATTCCAGGGCTGGACTTGGTGTGTCTGGACCCCCAGAATAACCCAGAGAGAAGCAGTGTAGAGTCCCCTTCAGCCTGCATAGGAGGAACCATCAGTTTGAAGAAAAAAAAAAGTATTGAATTCTTAATAGCCTACATAAACTCTAGCCTCTATCCTAGGACTGCAAAACAAGGAGTCATCTTATAGTGTTGTGTTTAGTGAGGTAGATACCCGTCTGTTAAGAAATGGACTGAGACACACCAACTTATATAGGAGTCCCTGAACAGCTGCCAGATAAACTTTTAGACACTACTAACCTGGGCTGTGAGAGGTGAAATGCTGCTGCTGTATTACTACCCTCTAAACCACAGTCAGATAATATCAACTACAGTAAATAGCTGGAGATGTCATTCACATCCCTGAGCAGGCTGAAACAGGGCAGGTACAATATTTAAAACTGGTAACGCCTTGCCACTGAGAATTAGAAATAGCCATGTGCTGGCACATCCTAGTCGAGGGGGGGACACCTTCCAGGTACAAACGCTAATGACTCTAATTCTGTTGTGTATGCATGATGTTAAATGGGGGGAGGGATAGCTCAGTGGTTTGAGCATTGGCCTGCTAAACCCAGGGTTGTGAATTCAATCCCTGAGGGGGCCATTTGGGATCTGGGGCAAAAATTGGGGATTGGTCCTGCTTTGAGCAGGGGGTTGGACTAGATGACCTCCTGAGGTCCCTTCCAACCCTGATATGCTATGATTCTATGAAATACTTGTACAGGGAATATGGCTTTAGCCTGAGCTGAGAAAGCCCCAGACAGGTGTGGAGGAAAATTGGATCTGAGGCTTCTCCTATTTGAAGAAGAGCTAATGCGATCCCGGGATGCATAAACTGGGGAATCTTGAGTAGGAGTAGAGAGGTTTTTGGCACTGGTGTGATGGCTGCTAAAATACTGTGTCCGCTTCTGGTACCCGTAACTCAAGAAGGCTGTTGATAAATTGGTGAGGGTCCCTGCTGGCCTTGGAATCTATGAATGAATGAAGTTTGAGAATATTTGTTGTGTTTTATTAAAGCAGTATTGCAAGTCATTTTCTAGTTTCTATACCCAGTGTTCTAGGATGTGGAGCACAAAAATGCTTTTTCTTGGAAACTCTCAGCATTATGTTGCAGAATACTCATTCAAAATTTCATGGCTCTTCAGGTTATGGTTACTGTGAAGAGAAAAAATTGTCTCTTTGTCAACTTTCTAATTTTCCAGCAATCCTGTGTTTATTTCTTCTTGTGCTCCCCTGCCTGCTTGTCTTTATCTACCTGTTTTATCTTGTCTTAGACTGTAAGCTTTGTGGGACAGGGACCATCT